CTTAAATTGTTTTATAGCTTTCTTTTTGATGATTGAAAACTACAAAAGAAAAAGTTAAGGAGTAAAAGGAACAAAAGAGAAGAATTGCACACACGTGGGAATGAATGAAATATACGAATTTAAAAAAAGACATCAAAACTGTCTAAAACAGTCTAATCTAATTACTACGTGTCTTTACAACAACAGTCACTTAGTGCTAATTATTCACATTGGTATTTATTGTATTTATCAACTTTGATCACCTTACAAATCAGTCACCAAATCAAAGTGCATTAAACTGACCTACTCGACTGTTTAGTCAGTTCCAAATCTTTTTCCTCTTCTTTTTTTTTCTTTTTTCTTTTACTTTTTCATTGCTTATTAAACAAATAATTCTTTTTTGCTTCATACCATTAATTCAGAAAAGTTTCTAAACTCATTTCATCTCTAATGAATACTTTTCTTAGATTTGTACTGTTACAGATGTTTTGTACTGCTGAAAAAAAAAGTATCTTGAAAATAGTGTCTAAACACACTTTTTATGCACTATTTAATTGTTGCTAAGACTTCTGTTTACCTGTGGATGATCGATCTTTATCGCTAGCTCTAACTGTAGACAAATCAAAAGCTAAAATTCAATTTATGCTTAAAAGATTAATTTGCTATGAATAACAAAAAAAAAAAAGTGTATTTTCATTACCGTCACTTTTTTACGCCACTTTTTATCACCAAATAGTAGCACTTTGTTTCCAGGAAAATATGTTGAACAAAGATCGATTTTTTTTTCGTTCTTTTTCATTTCTGTGAATGGTATAGAAAGGATAAGAATGGTGTGGAAAGGCAAAGTGCACAAAACGGATAGAATTGAGTGTTATCAACTTAGTTCTTAAAGCGGTTAAGATTCTTTTAGCACGTATAGTTTCTGGATAACTAAGCAACATTAGAATCAAAATAGAAACAACAGAATACCGACGTGTATGTAAAAATAGTTTTGTTAGTATGACTTTTTTTGCTTTTTCTCTATTTTGTTTTTTTTTTTTCAATGACGTATTTTGCAGCAACCAAATTTGTGGCTTCCAATACACTGCTTATACTGGCTAAACAGTTCCTGCTTTATTACTGATTCATTAGTGTTTTCTTCGTTCCAGCAAATTTTTTTCTTATTTCTATTGTTGTATCTGATATTTTAGATTTCTTTCTTCTAAATTATGTTGATGTTTCTTGAACAAAACTAAAATTGAAGAAAAGTTTTTCTTTTAGTTAATCCTTTTATTGAGTTATCGTCAGCGGCGTCATAGTCGTCGTTGACGATGTCACTGCTACTACTTTTTCTTCTCTCACTTTTTAATATTACTTTATACTTTTTTGTTCCTTTTTTCTATTTTTGTTTTGTTTTTAGAAGTTAATTAAATGAAAAAATACGCGATATTCTGTGCACATTTTGACAATAAATTTTTCTTCTAATGTTGGTTTTTTTTTTGTTACACCTATAACTACTGCTTGTACTTTGAAAAATAAAACCTCAACTTACGTTATTTTGTCAGCATAGCATTTCATTTAATTTTCTTATTTTTGATACAAAGATTTTGCTGATTTGGTGGAGAA